TCTCGCCCTTCCCATCCCCCCTCTCCTCTTGTACCTCCCATGAAACACCCGCTAACGCATCCCCGTGCAGCTTCAACGGCGGCTCCGCCCTCTCGGCGAACCTGCGCGCCGCCAACGCGTGCATCGTGACGAACCTGGCGGCGAGCGTGGGCGGGCTGACGTGGATGTTTTGGGTGCGTGTTTGCTTGCTTCTTTCTCTTCTTTCTTGTATTCCGTTTTTTTGTTCGTGGATATGGTGTGCTCGATTGGATGAGTGTGGGATGACGTGGGAGGGGCGAGATGCGAGATGGGCGGTGCAGGCGGCGCGTCGAGGCACAAGCGGGGGACGCGGGGAAGAGGATCGAGGCGGGACCCGGGGTGCATCGCGGGGGAGATGGCACCGTGCTTGACTCGGCCTGGGCTTCGTATACGCGTCCTGCCCGTCTCCCTCGCTGCACCATCCCTGCCCTCATCCTCCTTCCTCCCTGCACCCATCCCTCTACCCCCTCCTCATAACCTTTTATTGACCACCCGTTTTCTTTTAGGACTGGCGCCTCGAGCGCAAATGGAGCGCGGTCGGCTTCTGCTCCGGCGCGATTGCGGGCCTTGTGGCGATCACGCCCGCGAGTGGGTTCGTTGGGGCGCGTGAGTATTACTCTTGGCTTCTCTTTGTCTGAGGCTTTTATGTGGGAAGAGGGCGGGCTCTGAGGCGCATATGCGCCGGCGTGTCACTGGGGAGAGCTTCGCGGGCGAGGTGCATATGCGCCGTGTCTCTTCAGGAAGAGAGCTTTGCTAGGCAGAGGTGTGCGAGTCCTCTTGTGCCGGCGGGCGTTATAGGTTGTTGGAGGGATACGCGTCTCTGCCTTCCTCATCGCCCCGCTCTGCTCTCTTCATATTCATATCGTCTTTTGTTCTTGATGCAGCGCGCTGACTCTCCCCTCCCTCCAGCCGCCTCGGTCCTCTTCGGCTTCATGGCCGGCACCTGCTGCAACTTTGCGACCCAGCTCAAGTTCGTGTTTGGGTATGACGATACGCTCGATGTGCGTGCGCGTTTTTGCTTTCTGTACTCTTACTCTTACTCTTCTTTTACTTCTTCACCTCTTGTCTTTATTTTCTTTTTTTCCGTGCACATCTTGTCTTCTGCCTTTTACTTCGCATATACACTTCCTCGTCCGCGTACACCTTGATTCTCCATCATTCGGACTCGCCCGTCGTCCGCTCTTTGCCACTTGCGTTCTCTTCTTTTCCATCCCTCCTTTACATCCATCTTGCATCCTCCATCCATCATTCGGACTCGACCGCCGTTCCTACGCGCAGACGCCGTGCCATGTCCAGACCACCCTCCCTTCCGTCCTTCCGTCCTTCCTTCCGCTGTCTCCCATGCCATTGTCGCCGCGAAAGACAGACAGCTGTCTGCCACTCGCGACAACGCCGTGCCTCTGTGCCTAGAGCGTGCGTGGTGTCGGTCTGGCCTTAGCTTATCGCGGCAACTCGCCACGCGGCCGTGTGGGGGCTGCGATAAGACGTGTGCGAGCGGCTGCGCGCCAAGCGGAGTGGACGATTGCAGCGGGCATGCCGTCGGGACGGGGAGGCCCTGTCTATGGTCCCGATTCCTCCCGCACTCCTTTTTCCGCTCTCCTTTCATTTTCCCCCTGCACCAGCGCCTTGATGATACGATAACGATTAATCCGATAATCCGATAACCCGATAACCCCGACACTGACCCTCCATTCGCAGATCTTCGCCTCGCACGGCGTGGGCGGTATCGTCGGCAACCTGCTCACCGGGCTCTTCGCGCAGGCGAGCGTTGCTGTGCGTCTTTCCCTTCCCCGCCGTAAAGGACAAAGGGTCGGTAGCTGATTATTGATTTGTGTGTGGATACAGGCGTACGACGGCGCGACGATCATCTCGGGCGGGTGGCTCGACCACCACTACATCCAGCTCGCATACCAGCTCGCGGACTCGGTTGCGGCGGTGTCGTATAGTTTCGTCATGACCGTGCGTTCTTTTCCCTTTCACAAGTATCTTACGCCGAGACTGACTCGCGCGCAGACCATCATCCTCTGGATCATGCACTTCATTCCGACGCTGCGCCTGCGCTCCTCGGAGGAGGCGGAGCTGCTCGGCATCGACGACGCGGAGATGGGCGAGTACGCGTACGACTATGTCGGGCTCGAGCAGGAGATTGGGCATACGCTTGAGATTAACGGCGGGTCGGAGGCGCAGGCGGGCGGGCGGGAGGGCGACCATATCCACCATCATGGGCAGGAGAAGGGGTTGGATGGGGATAGTGCTTAAGCGGGCGGAGGGTTTCGTGGTTTGCTTTCCTGCACATACTTATTAGAGCAGATCTAGTTGGGGAAAGAGGGAAAGAGAGAGGGAGGAAGACGTGGAATTTCGCTACCGCTACTACTCCAGATCCAAAGAGCACGCCACCGCCATTCGCGAGCTGCTCGTCTACCGTCTACTACATGCATCCATCCATCCTATTTACCTACTTACATTACATAGATTCTTCAATTTGCCTTCGACGTTTAGTTATTAGTCTGGTAGTTATATGTTCGTATTGGTTATACGTTCCTTTTTATGCGGGGGATGTGGGCTTCGGTGTGGTGCTTGCCATGGGCAGGGGAGAGGATAATAATAATCGTATTTCTCGCTTGGACCGCAAAGGCTGTTGGTATACAAGGACAAAGGCTGCTGTTGCCATACAGGGACAAATAGCGCTTTCTTTTTTCTCCAACTCCATGCTTCGCGCCCAAGACTGGGTGCTCACGAATTCTGAGGCGCCTTATTCTTTCCTGGCGGTTTCCGATTCTTTAGCAGATTCTTCCGCTGTGCGGCGGGCTTTCATGATCAGCCTGAGGGTTTCCGGCTGACAATTGGTTTTGTAGTAGTCACTTTTGCTTGGTTAAACTGACGGGGGACCCTGCTTTCAGCGTGCCACTCCTCCACATTCTGTGTCCGGCTATTCACTCTTAGGATCTGACAGCTCATAAAGCAACTCTCTGCTCTGGCCGAGTTTTCTCGAGAGTCGAATCAACTCCTTTCTCCATCAGAGTTTCTCTCAGCGTGTTGGTCGAGATGCCAACTTTCATCTCGCCAACTTTCATCTCTGCCCCGCTTTCCGTTCGTGGTATCTACCAGGATACCGATACTCTCGAGCTTTCGTGATTCTTGGACCGACAAAAGAGAGTAGATGCCTCCCAAAAGCACATCCGGATAGCACAACGCCTTGGGTCGTTTTTACGATGAAATCGGGACTATCAGCGGAGCAACTCCGTTCGCCAACATTGTCAAGCATGGGCCAGGCTGAACTCCGTTGTCGCGAAAATTCTTCGGGTTTCATTTCGCTAGTAAATATGACAATTGACATGGGGGTCCAATTTCGTAACCCACGGTCTCAGCAAAAAATGGATGCCCCGCCCGGCGGTGCCTCGGGATACTACAGCACCGGCCTGGGTGGTCGCCCTTGTGGGTTGTTTTGCGGTGGCTTTGTGCGTCGTTTTATCCCTGGTGCTTTCGCTTCTGGTTCTGCCATTAATTGGACCTCGGCTTCTTTGTTCGTGGACGTGTGGGCACGACTATCAGCGGCTTCTTTTCTCCAACATTGCCAAGCATACACCAGACTTGATCTCCGTCGTAATGTTAAAATCCAGAGAGACCGAAGCGACAAGTTAGCATGAGTGTGCGCCCACAAATGCGGCGTCTTCAAGCAGAAACGTGTACGTGGGCTTGATAAATAGACGAGGAAGTGATTTCCTCTCCATTCCGTCCTCTCATTTTCCCCTCCCCTAGGGTTTGACATGCAGTACCACGCTCTCATTTATCTCGTCTCCGCGTTTCTCTTCGTTGGCACACAATCCGCTCCGACTCCAGGATGTGATCCTTATGCTCCATACTCGACACTCGACACAGGTGCGCAGTAATTCGTATAACCCACGAAATATAGTATTAACGGTGCAATTCCAGTGGAAGAAGGCTGCACCTACATCCCAGAAGTCTGCCGTGGCCTGCCTGAACAGTTGTTTTCCGTGCGTCTCTTGAATTTCTTTCGTCGCCTTCCCTCATACTCAGTTTTCGACATGCAGCGCTGCTTGAGAGCCTTCACGAATGAGATCGACTAGTCGATTAACCTAGTAGATGCCCTGTCCAGAACTTGACGAGCGAAGGATGGGTCATGGTCCTGAGCGTCGACCCTTAGTTCGCGGAACGGCGGTGTTTACTTTATCGAAACGGTGTGAATGCATATCCGTGATTCAATCATGATGGGTTGTGGTAAATGCGACGAAACTAAGCCACCAAGTCAAAAGGAACTACAGTTGGGGATGTGGGGCATTTTTGTTGTGCACTGTGGCTGGTGAACGCGAGAACGACGACGAGTGAATCAAGACCTTGGAAGTCGGCGCTTGGGATATACCAGCATATCGACAACTCTTGCAATGATATCGAGCTCTGAGGCTACAGAAATTCACCAACTGGGATCCATGGTTCAAGAAAGCACAAAAGGGCACTGTTTTCTTGAGGGCAAATAGTGTAATTGGTGATCGATCATCGTGGAAACGTGGGCAAATTGTGTATTTATTGGGTTTGAGAGAGTGAAGTTGCAACACAAAAAGTGTGAGGCACAGGAGGCTGAATCCTGCGATTCGGATTTTTGGGAGGAGCGAACAGAGAGAGAGAGATGGTGCAAGAAAAAGACCGCCCTCCGAAAGTTCGGCGCCAAGTTTCTCACATCAAAAATTGATCCCAGCCCAAGATACTGTTGATCGCAGTTCAACCTCTTCCCCCGGCCTCTCTTGGCTCAGAAAATTTCGAAATTAATACTGCGGGTAGATAGGCCATCCGCCCTTCCTCTGAGAAGATGCCTGGGCCAAGAGAAGTTAATAAAATTCGAAATTTGGCGAAGTAAGTCGAGACTTCCGAATTCGGCCGAAAGTGTCGTAAGTGTTTCAGATCGTTCCAGAACCTTCCATGGATCATTCCAGAGGTCAAATGTTGTGCACGGAGTGCAAAAAGGATGGACAAACTGGGAATTGAACCCAGCACCTCCCGCATGCTCAAGTAAGGTACTTAACTTGCGAAGCGGGCGCGATAACCAACTACACTATTTGCCCCATGAATAACGACGTTGAACGGTCATATATGTCCCAAAGATCATGCTCACCAAAGGGCAAGACGAACGGATGAAGGGTGGTCGAGAAATTTCATTTTTTCGAGATATGTTTGTTTTTGTATTTTGTCCGCCACTGTCATCATATCACCAGTGGGGATGATTTTAACCCGTCTTGAACGCCGGATTTCCTCCAGTTTACCGCTTCGCTGGCAGCTGGGTTGAACTTCGTGTCCTTACCGTAGTCCGACTAACACAAGTCTGTCATTTCTGTTCCCAGCAATTCAAACTGAACCCGAAACCGCGCCTGCTACCCCGATTTTTTAATTATGTGTGCGCAGCGCAGGGTAACTGATATCTATCAATATCACGGCCTTGATCACGGCCATGGCCACCGCAAATCACAAGAACTGAATGAGCGAGACATATCGATACGAAAATAATGCAGTAGGCAGCAAGCGGTTTACATTCAACCAGAGCGTAGTGCATCCCCTCTTCGAATTTAAAGTGAACAAGAATTGCAGGAGCTGGTGTCGGTGATCCCCTTCGAAGATCTACGCTCAAGGCTATACAGATCTGCATTCGTTCACATGCTAAACATCACCGCCATTTGGCCACCAGTCCGTCCCGATCACCCCGGTTGCTGCTCTAGGCCTGGCGTGCTATCCTGGTACTTTACTCCCACCCACATCAGCCCACATCCTACCCCCACGACCTTCCTGCGCAATGAACCACGAAGAGGTGAGTGGCGTGACAAGTATTCAACACCAAGTTCAACTTCAGTCAGGATTTAGCTCGTTTGCCCGTAGGCATGAAGCGGATAGGCTATGATGCCGATACCGCTCGGTATACCTTTTGCGATGAGGAGGGAAACACCTACATTGGCCCACCAAACCAGGAGTACGGATCCCTTACTCTCGTCGATCCTTCCAGCGCAATGAGGGACAGGCCCAATGCTTTCTCCACAGGTGCATGGCGTCATTCCGGAAGTGTGGCAACAATCGCATTAACTTCTACATGCCTTCCAGGAAGCCATTCAGAATATGAAACACTGCACCAGCCGCTCTCGATGTTCCATGAAATGCTCCCCGCGCACGCGATGACCTCTGCCTCTTCGTCCGAGAGCCCCGCCACCACCCCCGGGCCGTCTAATGGCGGGTCCGCCTCGAAGTTCCGCACTGCCGTCCAACGAACCGCCCTACCCTCAATGCAAAACGTTGTAAATAATGTCCGTCGCTCAGTAACTGGGAAACGCAGAGATAAGGAGAAGACAAGTCTGCTTCGCAGCGGGTCGGACGCTACATCGAAACCAACGCGCGCGGGGACGATGCCCGCTGTGGGCTCCGACTTCGAAATGATTGATGAGGAAGACGCTAAAGATCGGAAGTGATGTTTTGCGTGCTGATTTATTCCTTCATGGGGTTTTGGACGAACTGTATGTGTTATATAATTCTCGCCACCGTCAAATGAACTTTCGTTCAAATACACTCGTTGTGAGACGCAACAACAAAGCAAATCATGCGGGACGTTGAAATTGAGGAAGATGACAACGTGATTATGCGCGTTGGATGTGACCACAGACCTTAATATCGACTAAAGACAAGAAAATCTCCATCGCCGATGCCACTAAAATACTCCACCATTGATACGGTTGTAAGACCAATGTGTCGGAATTATAACCTTGGTCAACTCAACCCTCGTGTGTCTTGGCTGACTTTTGATCTCCAGTTTGTCTCCAGGAAACGAGAAAGAATCTAAAGTTGAAGAACAAAAAAAGAAGTCTGGAAGGCTGAATTCGGGCCCGGAGATTCGTACTCCGTCCAGCTGTGTCAAATTTGGCATTGCCATTGGCGATAACCAGTAACAGTGCGCCAAGGACCATACCCGGTTCACGACCCCTATTTTATACTTAATCTCAAGGAATTTGCACTATCAGAAGTCGGACTGCAAGAAGAAGCCCGACTACTCTCACTTGCGTGGAACATCGATAATGAACACACGAACCTCGTTTCCCCGGATGAGCGCCCTTGTACACCATGCAGCCATATTGCTTCGTCGTCCCGCCACAACAAGGTTATAATGGGTGCAGCTCTGTGTCTCATACCTTCTGAGTCCAGACAGTACGGCTTTGGGTCCGGAGGGAATACGGTCCAGACACTCGTCTTTGTGTGCGACTTGAAACAATGCAGATTTTGTGGTCGCGCGTAATGCAGCGCAGGTTCGACAAGGAAGGAGGGGAAGACTGTAAATGAAATCAGTTTGCACGTTAAGCGTGGTGGGCTGGGCGCTGTCGTTTTTTCAAATGTTTTCATCCATTTGTGGATAAGTACAATGGACCGAGTTATTTTGTTCAATTGAACCAAGATCTCATGTTTCTGCGCGAAACCTTCAGAACAATAATACTATACCCAAGGCCGATAGGCGGATGTGATGGAACAGGTTCTGGCTGATATATTGACATAGCAGCTACACATACGATTTCCTTCCGCTCCTTCCCTACTGCATGTTTACTGTACGTGTTCCGTTGTTCTCGGTTTTCGCAGATGTTTCGGTTCTTATTTTTCTCTCACAGCACAAAACACGAAAGCATTGATTTCAAGCGTAGATGTAATCGAAGTCGATATCAGAATCGGAATCCAACGAAACAAGGTCATCGTCCTCAAATCCGTACCCGAAACGAGGTGCGTTGGAGCAGCGTTTCAGCACTTCGTCTGAGGTGCAAAGCGGCAGAACATTCCCGCGTTTGTCCGTGAACCGGATCTGCAGGCCTGCTGCACAAAGCTCGCGCAGGGGGCGCGCCTGGGATGTCCCTAAGTATTTGCGGTCCTCTATTGCAACGAAGGAGAGAGTTTGGGTGTCTGGGCATGTGCTCCTGGCAGTCAGCATCTTTACGAAGGACACGAAGTCGAAGTGGGTCCCCGCTAGTGTGAGGCGCTGAAGGCAGGGAAGCAGGGGTGATTGCAGAGCAGGCGAGAGTGACGCCCCAGAGCTCGGATCGAGCATGGTGATGAAGATGGTCGGAGTCGGTTGCTGGCCCAATTTGAGTTCCACCAACGCATGAAGCTCGCGTAAGAGGGTGCGCATATCATCGAGGGAATCCCATGTATCGATGGTGAGTGTAGTGAGCAGCGCTGGCGATGGACAGAGCATGCCCAGGACATCGCCCGCATGGATGGAACCTCCGACCCGGAGCGCCGAGAGGATGGGGGTCCGCAACTTCAGCATCGGGGGGTCCTCTCTGTGGAATTGCAAGAGATCAATTGCTAAAGATCGCAAATGGGGCAGTTCAAGTCTCGGTAGGTCCTGCGGGCGTTCCGAGAATACGAAATTTCTTATCGTGATGGTGCAGTCTTCGAGGACGGGCATTTCATGCAACAAGAAGATGGCGGAGGACTCTTCGAGGGCACGGCCATGGAATGACGTAATCGAGTTGAAGCAAAACGGGGGGAACGGCGGAGCGATAGAGACAAAATCGCGTGTGAGATCCAGGGTCCGTAGAAGTGAAGCCGACTCGACAAAGCCGAGCACACCGTCCAGGCTCTCACCAACAATGTTAGGTTCTAATTCCAGTTCCAGCTTTCTCAACGCCGGTAATCCGATTCCGAGAGCGCTCATTCTGGAATACAGCGCCATGGGTATCCGGAGCTTTGCATCTCTCCAGCGTTGAGAAGAGGAGATCAAAAGATCGAACGACACGTTCGACAAGACTGCTGAAGAGGCTGAAATATTCATATGTAGTGGACCAGAACCAGAACGCTCCAAGGAGGTTCTGAGAAGCTTTTGTCTCCCACTCGATTGCCATTCTTCGAGCATGAAATGCGTGGCGGTCCACAGCGCCGGGGTCGCGAGGGCCACGGCCCGCCAGCGATGACATATGGTGGTGAGAAGCCACGGGGTGCGAAACATCAAGCCGCATTCATCGTCCGGTGGGACGGCAAGGAAAATGAGCGACAGCACTTCGGGAGGAAGCGATCGGAGTCGGGAAACAACTGATTTGTGAGCCCGAATGACTTCGATAAGTCGTTCCCGACGGGTATTGATAAGTGCGAGATCGATTTCCATCTCTTCAAGGAGTGAGAAAGCAGCGGCGAGTTGGAAATCGGTCGGAGCATCGTTGGTGACAAGGAGATGATCAAGGTTCATGTCGGAAATCTAGAGTTGACATGCGAAAAAATGAACGTTCATGCATACGAGGAGGAAGAAATCACAGACCGTAATTCAGCCGGGAAAGCGGTCTCAAAATTCAGTTTCTATTCTGGAGTTCTTGTATTTGTGCAACCCAGGACCTGCCGCGACGAAACGGTTGAATCACTCAATGTGTTCAAGGATTGAGAGGATCCTGGCAGTTCTTCTGCCTGAACCGTAAGGGAAGGTAGGAGGCGCAGGTGCAAGATTTCAGATGGTGGTGTGCTGTGGTTTGCTGTCAAGCGATGCCAAAGCGATGCGGCAGTGTGTCAACTCTCGTGACTCAGTGATGGAATCACATCGGAGTTCAAAGTTGGTTCAAAGTTAGTTCAACGTTCGCAACCCCAGGAAAACCACCTACTGCGAGAGTTTGTCGCGACGAAATTCGGACCTGCGAGAAAGACCTCATGAGCCAAAAAGAAAAGAAAAACAAGAAGGCCATGCTCATTAGGGACGGTCAGAGTAGCTTTTTTGAGGCGGTTCCCATGGTCGTTTCTTGTGGCGGTTCTTGATGGAATAAATCGTGGGAGAACCGCCGAGAAACGGAACGGATTTAAAAATGCAGAACCTCCTCCGGAGGAGGTTCGACATGGGTTCCGGTTCCGTTTCTCGGGACAAAAATAAATATTGACCGAGAACCGTCTTGAGAAACGGCCATCAGAATCGCCTCAAAATGTCTACTCTGACCGTCCCTATTCGAGTGCGGGGAGTCGAACCCCGTCCAGCTGCTCAATGTTTTCTTTTTCGCCCATCGAAATAATAATAGCAGCGATGCACCATGCACCACACCCGATTACAGGTTTGTTTTTCAACCTATCCATGGACTGCAAGGTTTACCTACATTTCGTGGTGGGCACCTGAGCTGTACACCTGGCAAGGTTCAATTGAATGCATGCTGCCAGAAAAGCAAAGAAAAAAAAAAAAAGTCTCCCATCCCATCCCTATTCGGGTGCAACCCCGTCGAGCTGCTTGATATCTTGAAAAGGGCGAGAAACAGCAGCGGTGCACCGTACACAACACCCGAATGGGTATCTATATTTCGTGTTGGGCAAGTGATTAACCCGCGTAATAGAGCAAATGATCAGATGCCGGCAGCGCGAAAAGAACAAAAAAACTTGCAAAAAACCACAATTCTCTTCATTCATTCGGATGCAGGGAGTCGAACCCCGTCACGCTGCATTAAATGACCCTGGACCCACAAGAAACAGCAGCAGCAGTGCGTCGTACACCACACCCGATTGCATACCCATATTCTGTGCTGGGTACGTGTTTGACTTTGTGGTATGTAGTCGAAATCGTCTCGGGTCGGAACGAGCAAAGAATATTCTGCCCGCATCATGAATTGTGTTGAAATTGTGCCACTTGAGCAATGGTTTGCAGCACATGGTCCGAAGTTGCGATCGGGCTGCATAGGTTCAAAATTTATCCGACATTGAACGTGAACCCCGGGTGGAATTGAACCCCCGGATAAAACTTGAACCCCTCGATAATTGAACCAGGATTTAACCCCCGAGAAACCGCGCGAAAAATGTTACCATGGACCGTGCCATTCGGGTGCGGGGAGCCGAACCCCGTCCAGCGCAGGGCGCCGTGCACCACATTCGATTATGGGAAAGCATTTCAACCTAGGCACGAGGGCCCGAGGGGAGTGAGAGAACCGCGCGAGCGCGTGGAAGCGGATCATCTCTAAGTTAGACTGCAGGCGGGATGTGCGGAGACTCGCATAGACGACGCCTCGCTGCGAGCATCGCAGTGTAAATAAGGCAGCTGAATAACGACTGGAGCATAATCTAGCATAATCACTGGTGGCTTGGAGAGACACGGAGATTGCCGAGATCCAAGATTCTTTTGTGGACTTGATCAAATTTCGATGAAGGTTGCCGACAAAACTGCGAAAGGTCAATATCTGAGGCGGCAATCCTGTAGTGAGTAAAATTTTGAGACTCTCTATGCTCTCAGACTTTTTGTTGGCAAAGAAATCCGTGCGCAGTGAATTGTTTTTGTGGGTGCCAAGACACGCCAAGGAGGGTGACTGCCAAACACGTGTTTCCGTGGCTGAGAATGGTGCGAGGAAATTCACTATAGAACGATGTAGTCACTAAATATTGATGATCTAAAAACATCGCGAATCTTGTATCTTAAATCGCTACACAACTGTCTCTTCAGATTTGCGAAAAGTCAAAATTTGTCGGGAACTTTATCGAAAATTTCGCCCAAGTTCACAAAAGATCCCCAGCAATCTCCGTGTTTATGCGTCATTACAGAGCATAGTCCCTCCGGCGCAGTGATCGACTGTCATCACTCCGCCTTTGGGACTGGTTCGAGTCTAAGGAGTGATTTGTCCATCACAAGATGATTCATGTCCAACAGCCATTGTCAACTATCCTGCCGAGCCCTTGCCGATCCCAGCTCCACCACATCCGATGTCAAGCAGCCATATGGTTTCCCCCCCCCCTGTCTTCGGGGACAAAAACGCGTGCCCATAGGTGCCCATCTTTTCGAGCTTGGCGACAACCCCCGTCGGCATCGACGCCACCACCGGTATTGGATTTGAATTTGTAGTTTCCGCTTCCTTCATTTGCTCGGACTAAGTACCCTTAGACTCGTCTTGCGAGAAAATAATGCCAGTGCAATGCCGACGATAGCCATCCGCTCCTGGTGAGTCAACTCTCAGCGCGACAGTGAACAGCGTCAATGTTGACACGACTTGTCTTCAATTTCCAGATCACACAATTCTTCAAACAGGCACTGCATCATGATTCTATCAGCAACCTCGAATCCCGTTGATCCGAACGCACAATCCTTATTTGGCCGCGGGTAACGACTCCGTCGGCGAAATCGTGTGTGCGGTGTGTGCTCTTGCCTCTCCCCATCTCTTGCTGAGTAGCAGTCTCGGTGGATCCCATGCACGGCGCCGTCAATACGGCCCAATGAGCAGCACCGTAGAACTTCAACAACAATTGTGCGTTGTCCTGGCACGTTCAGCTCGAATCTCCAGCCGGAGAGCTGACCTGGACATTCACTGACGCGCTTCCACGGCAGAAACTCGAACTACTACTTCAACCTCATCTCGTTCAGTATGTCGATCCGTTGCGTGACGGTGTCAACCTGTTTTAACCACCACGAAAGCCTTGCTTTTTTATGACTACTTCCTGACGCTGGAGTGGGAGGTGTCGCGCTACTGGGGGACGGCGTTGGCAGCCCCCAACTTCCTTTTCTACTTGAACAGATACGGGACCTTGTTTGGGACTATTCCCGTGGTGGTTCAGTATTTCTGGACGACGTCAAGCACGCCCCAGAAAATTGCAGTTTGTCGAGTCTTTACTCTTCCTTGAACCATCGCTGAAGCTGTGATCAGATGTAACTCCCATTCTTAGGTGTTTCATGGTCCGTATCTCATGGGAATGTGTTTAAGATGCGGCCACCTCCACTCCTACCACCAATATTTCGCCGTCGCCACGCAGATAATCATCGGAGGTGCGTGCACTTCACACCAGTGTCAAAAAAATCCCAACTGACATGGCATGATCAGTAATGCTCATTCTCCGCACATACGCGCTTTACGAGCGCAACCGTCGTGTCCTGGCGTTGATGGTATGCGTCGCCGCCGGAGTCATCGCTGTGGGCGTCGTATGTCCCAATACTTATCCCTATTTTCATCCTCTCATCCGCGTGGCAGTGGTCAGTGTTGTCCGGGCCTGGTGCGAAAACGGGCGACGAGGGCACCAATCTGGGCCTCTACATCGGCTGCTCCTCTTCCGTCTCTTCCTCTCAGTGCGTGCTCCCAATTCTTTCTTTGAGTCCTGTGAGGTCTGAATTAACGGGTGCTCCAGAACCCTCGGACTCGTGGCCGCCTGGGCTGGCATGGGCGTGTTCGACTGCACCATATTCTTCCTTACGTTGTACAAGGCACTGAGCCGGCGGCGCTCGAGCGGGATTGAGCTGCTTGCTGTGCTACTCCGAGACGGTGCGTCCATATTTCTGTTGGTAAGCCTTCCATCTTACGATTTTTCCGTACATAGGCTCCATTTATTTCGGGTGTGTTTGATCGTCTCGCGGAACCTCTGTGGAAAGATGTTGAATGTATCTCTTATAGCGTGATAGTCATGTCGAACCTGGCTAATATCCTTACCTTCCTCGTAAGCCGCCCTCGTGCTTGTCTGTCTTGCTTCTGATGTATTTCCCCCCTTCAGCGTGGGGGAGTACGTTCTTTTGTTGTACTTTTTCGGCCCAAAATAAACGCTAACAACCAATAGCCATACACCCGCGGTATGCCTACGACCTTCACGAATGTGTTCGTTCCTACATCCCCTCCCCTCCTCTAAAACGCCGCCCTTACCCCCACACAGAATATCATCCATCATGATCTCGCGGCTCATGCTCAATCTCCGCGACCCCGCGCTGTCCACCATGTCGGGGCGATTCTCGGGGACCACAACGTACACCGGGAACGGGGCGTTCTCCACGTACCTCAGCGAGAGCGCTGCCGGCGAGCGCACCCAGGATTGTGAGTTGTTTGATGCGGAAGTTTTGAACAAACCCGGAAGAATAACCTTGTGCCAGATGTAGATGTCGAACTTGAAAATGTCGACGCCGAGCGTGGAAACCAGCCGTATCGGTAGTGACTGATTAAACTAGCTAGCCACGACGCGAGAAGGAACGAATAATTCACTATAAACCTGTAAGTAACCTATGTATCCAGAGAAACGTGATTGCTCTCAGTTGAATGAGTAAAAAAGAGAAGTCCAGTGAGAGAGATGATGGCAGTTCCGCTTTACACTTACAATAAGGGATGTTCAAAATTGAACGTGGTTCAATTCTGCCAATGCTGTCTTCGCCACCGCTCCTCGTCGCCCAGGTTCACATCCTCGTAGCTGCGCCTCTTGCCGAGGAGATCGTGGTTGATGGTCAGCGCGAAAAACTCGTCCCCATTCGGGTCGTATGTTGCACCCAACAAACCCATCCCATCCCATTCCACCGCGCCCACCAGGCGCCGCAACAACTTGATTTCCGCCCCGGTAAAATTCCGGGACCCGACCATCTTGAGCTTGCGCAGCGGGGTTGTGGTGGCGCGCAGCTCGAGGTAGCACACGAGCACTTCAAGGAAGCGCGCGCCGTCGACGTGGTAGTATGACGTTACCCCGGCGCCATCGGGTGGACGCAGCGGCATGAACCCGCCCGCAGAACAGTCGACGCAGCTTAGCGCAAACTCGGTCAACGCGGGGAGTACATTAGGTGGGGTTGAACTGGCATCGATATCGGCAGGCGCCTCTAGCTGCCGGACGAGATCCCACAATAGGCCCGATGGCGGGAGGCCGCAGACAACGAGCGTCTGGAGGCGCTCTAGGCGCCGAAGGAGGCCAGGCCACGCGCCCGCCGGACTGATATTCCAGTTCTCGAGTAACAACCACTCGAGGCACTCGAGCGGCGCCGTGTCCGCGATGGTGCCGAAGATCGCGGCGAGTTCGGGGTCGGTGAGCGGGCTGGTCCAGTGGAAGCAGATGTCAAACGTGCCTGTTCTCTGGAACGGCTCGTAGACGAACCCGAGGTCCGCGTGCTGATAGAAGCTGGGATCGGGGAACGGCGGGAGGCTGTAGCTGACTGGGTGGAACGTTCCATATTTACGATGGAGGAACATGGACTTTGGGGGTCTGTCGAGGGAGCTGAAGACAGCCTGCAGCAGGGGCCCGGTGTCTGTCACAGTCGACAGATTTAGATAGTATCGCCGCAGCTTGGGGCACTCTATTGCCTCGAGGAATGAGGTACAGAGTGCAGGAGTTCCTGAGAGATGCA